TAACTGAATTGAATGTATAGTCGGATCGCGAGGAATGGATTTCAAAGCTGAATGGAGTGGCTCTCAGTTCTGACGCCTTCTTCCCATTCCGTGATAACATAGACAGAGCGCGACAGTCGGGCGTCGATTTCATCGTCAGTCCCGGCGGTTCCACAAACGATACCTCTATAGTAGAGGCCTGTAATCACCACAAGATTACACTAATCCATACCGGACTCAGACTTTTCCACCACTAAGTCCTTTAAAATCAAATTTAAGTTTCTTTGTTTTCATTGATTAATAAAATGCGATTTTAAAAATAATAAACCGAAAGTTTATTTTATAACAAATTACATTTGAATATAAAATGTAAAAATATGTTGAAAATTGTTACCCAAAATGGGCTCTAATTATCAATTCAAACAATTATTAACTGAAAATATAAATATTTTTAGTTAAAAAAGTTAATTTACAATAAGTTTTGTGAAAATTATTTTCAATGCTATGGCTGTAAAAGAGTGTAAAAGAGGGCCTATAAGTTGACCAATGGGCATTTGACCATGGTGCATGTTCGTGCATCCACAACGAGTCTTTTCATTGTTCCTATTAAACCGACCCGACCTCGGCTTCGGCCACATTTACCGGCAAATTGTAATTTATTCAATACTGACATGTGATCTATGAAATCAACATAGAATTTAGCGTAGAATTAAAATATCGTATTAGAACATGAATAAAGTATATCTATGTGATATATTTTATGTGATTCGATTAAAACATTTAAATTGTGGTCAAAATGAGTAAAGATAAGCTATAATTGTACATCTCTTCCCTCCACCTCAACACCTCTGATCACGACTACAATTCTTGCCCACTCGACCACAACTCGACCAAAAATAAATTAAAATGTGGCAACCACATTCAAATAATATTACAATATTCTAATTCTATCATAAATTCTACGTTGATTTCAGATATGACATCAGTATTGAGTAGAGAAACCGTTTGGAATCGTTTTGGAATCGATTTAGGTTTAATAAGCATGTATACAACTATGACTATCGCAATTATTTTTTTCATTTATAATATTTGAAAAATTAAAAAGTAATTGAAATGCTTGTCTACAAATATTCCTATGACAAACGCTTACCAAATTTATGTTTTGTATGCATAGATAGTTGTGTTTATATTTGTGTTTGTGTATTTTGTGCTTCTATTTTTTGATTATGTCTTGGATTGTGATTGTTGAGAACCACAAAGTGTATCGACGACCTCGAAATTATCGAGATCGAAAAAATCCATTAAAAACAATGGATGATAATCAATGGGTTAAGCGCTTCAGATTTGATCGAAACGGCATATTATACATATGCCACCTAGTTAAAAATGACATACAACGCCCAACCAAACGAAATCAATCTGTGCCGACAATTATATCGGTTTGTGCGGCACTAAGATTTTTGGCCCAAAGAGCTTTCTTCGGTGTAACAAGTGATACACTCGGGTTGAGCAAATCATCGCTCTCACGAGCGGTACATTTGTTTACCCGAAGTTTGGCGTCTAAAGAGGGGAATTTAATTAAAATTCCCCGCAACGGATAGAGATATTGCGACAACAAAACATGGCTTTTATGAATTGAAGCAATTCCTTAACATTATTGGTGCAATTGAAGGGACACATATTGAGATTTTGAGCATTCCTGGATCTGATATGGTAATACTGATGTATCGCCGTCAGGAATTATGCCATTCATTAATTGTTGATTCATTGTTGCCAATAAGCGGTCCTCCAATTCCGGTAGAATAATAGGACATTGAGATCCATCACCAGTTGCTTCTCGATGTCTTTTATATTTGAAGCCCTTTTTCTGGATTTTGTCTTAAATTCAGTCAATGACTTCTTTATTTGGTGCACTTCGGGCCACCATGTTTACTGACCGCTTTAACACATGATGTTATGTATTCAAACGCCTTTTTCTTAGACTCATGTGTTAATGATGGCGAAAACTAAGTGTGACAGGCGGGGATACTGACCACTATACTATTAGGTACAATCCTTTCCGTCGATAATATTGATTTTGTTGATATATCCACCAAAGCGGAGAGAGTGTATTTAGAGATGTGTGTCCATCATTAGTACAGACACTTATGAATAAAAACCTTTATTTCGTGAATAATGCAATTACATTTATTTCTAAAATCTCATTTAAAAAATGACAAAGTTGAATTTTGTTTATAAATGCAGTTGTGGTACCCTTTATTATTGATAGAAACAAAATCAGAGGTTCTGAGACAATATTATATTTTGAATGCTAGAAATAAAATGAATTTATATTTAATTAATTTAATTATAGAGACAATTATAAGCAATCGAATTTTTCAAAAGTATAATTTTTTTGGAAATTGTATGAATTCAAAGTTTTGATTGACAAACAATTAAATACAGGAAAATACAGGAATTATTGGTAAAATGTTCATAACTATACAGGATATCCAAAATATTGCAGTATTACCATTAATACTGCCCATGCATTACCCATGGTATGCAGTATGTACCGTACAGTACGGTACATCCTATGCATAGCTCTACCATCCCGTACAGTACAGTACAATACAGTACACCCCATATAAGCTCTACCATCATAAATAACCACATCTGGCATACTGTATGGCTTGCAGTACTGGGCCTACAGTGGTTGCATAACCACTGCCCAGTCCTGCATTCCTTATATTATGCGTACACTGAGTGTATATATGCCGTACACTAGTGTGAACTCTAGACAGTCCTCTCTTAGCTCTGGTCAAGTAGTGATCAGAGTATTAGCTTAGTTTTCCTATTCATTTAGTATAGCCTTTAGTTATGGACTGAGTATTGCATAAGCCCTCCGATGAGATCAACTTTTTATACTTTATTTTATTGTATTTTATTTGTATTGTGTAAACGTTAATAAATAGTTTTGCGGCAATATTGTGCATTAATTTCAACTATAACGCTCCGCGCGCGCACCGGCATCAGTGAGCCAAACCCCACGGTGGGTGTCAGGTAAGTCCCATACGGGAGGTCTACCCCATGGTAAGTACCCGAGTGCCGGGGCATTACTGTATTAATTGCGCGCATACCGTACGATAATATTGCAATATTAGCTGGCAACGCTATGCATAGGACTGAATACATTGAAAATTGACTTTTCATGAGAAATGCCATTCACCAAAACTATAGTGATATAAGGGGTATGCAAATGGTTAGATATTTGAACATAGGTGTTTGTGGTCATTCGCATTTTAAATTTAATTGTTAAATAAAATGTATTTCAATAAAATCGCTCAAGTAGTTTTAAAATTACTTTTATTGTTCATACAGTAGTTCCCAAACCTGTATTTCGAAACGTATAAATAAAATGCAACACTATTTTCAATTTAAAATGAATTTATTTTTAATGATTTAAGATATTTAATGATAAATTAGAACAGTTTTCCATACAATTAAACAAAACATATTCTCATCACAATATTTATAATTACATGTCAATTAGATTTAACAGTTATAACCATATATTCTTTGATTTATCATTTCAAATGTCCTAAAATAATGATTACTTCTTATTAAAAATAATAATTTTCAAGTCATTCAACAGTTTTCTAATACAATAATAACCATAAATAATTCAATTCTTATAATTTATAGTAGATTTATATATATTTGCCAATAATTGTCATAATATTGTTATATTATATTAAGTCATACTGTGGTTAACATTTTTGTTACGATAATTGAGTTGTAAGTGTAGAACACTTTGAAACATATTATATTATATTTATCCTAAATATATGCCTTATTTAACGACTATTAGAGTTAGGGCTCAACAAAACGCACACCAATTATATGCGCTCTCAATATAGTTCTCAATTCCACTGATTCTGACATTCCCAATAATGTTGGCATTGATTCGAATGTCAATCTTCTTCAAGATCTAGACTTTATGAGCGCTAATACGGGTCCACCGATGGCTGCTTTCGATGCGAACAATGTGTTGAAACCGAGTCCTCCGGTGGTAACACCGACTTCGCCACTGTCTGGAGGAATGGCTTTTAACGCATCTCTCCAAAGAAACACATCGACGCCCAACTTAACAATCTTAGATCCTTTGGCACAATTGGGTTCATTCCTTACATCGACGGTCACAACCACTGCACCAAACATTCCACGAGTCAACTCGTATTCCACATTTCAAACGGCAAACCCTCCGAAGCCTGACTACAATCGAAGCAATTTTAACGAAGTCAAGAACACAACCACTTCTACCGCATGTAATGCTAAAGTAATGGGCAATGCTTTTGAAGATCTTTTGGGAGGCTTTAAACCGACTCAAAACGAAACGACAAACAAAAGTATTTCTCAAATGAGAGACGAAGAAATGGTATGCATTTTAGTTACAATTTACAGTTAATGATTTGTTTTAATATGATTTAATGATGATTACTCACTCACTGTACAGCTCAAAGACGGGACAATGGATCCGATGAGACTTAAAGTAATGAAATGGAAAGAAGGGAAGACCAGGAATATAAGAGCGCTGTTGTGTTCGCTGAATGTGATTATATGGGAGGGATGTAATTGGCAACCAATAGGAATGCATCAATTGGTGACCGCCAGCGATGTCAAGAAGTTCTACCGCAAGGCGTGTTTGGCCGTACATCCGGACAAAGTAAGGCT